CCGCAGCCGAGTTTGCTTACAACAACCACGTCCACTCCTCGACCCAACAGGTTCCCTTCATGACGGACACAGGACGCTTACCACGCATGGGATTCGAGCCGACAGAGCAGCGCTCCACCCGAGCAGAGTCTGCCAACGAGTTTCTGGATCGGGTCGCATCGGGCGTAACCGAGGCCAAATCAGCACTGGTCAAGGCAAAGGACGAGTACAAGAGGTACTATGACCGACGAAGGACTACCGCTCCCGACATCAAGGTTGGCAGCCGAGTCTGGCTCGACGCCTCGGACATCACGACGACGCGACCCTCCCGCGGCCTCTCCCACCGACGCCTGGGCCCCTTCAAGGTCACCCAAGTCGTAGGTCAAGGCGCATACAAGCTCGCCCTCCCCACTAGCCTCTCTCGCCTCCACCCTGTCTTCCCCGTGGTCAAGCTCCAGTTGGCCGAAGACGACCCGTTCCCCACTTGCCCGCGTCACAAAGAACCACCCCCTGTCCTAGGACAAGGCGAAGGAGAGGAGTGGGAAGTGGAGGAGATCCTAGACGCAAAGATGCGATACCGGAGTGTCTGGTTCCGAGTGCGATGGAAGGGCTATGACCCATCTCATGACCAGTGGGTCAAGCACTCAGATGTGTTTGCTGACGACGCAGTGGCAGCATTTTACCACAGATACCCTGGGAAGCCACGTGTCATCGCAGCGGCCGTATTTGACTCGCTGCCCTTCAGGGACTCGTCAACCCCCAACCGTGCCTTGCGTCAAGGCGCCGCAATCAAGAGGGGGGGTGATGTCAGGGGAACCCCTGCTTTCGTCCGATCATCCTGGGATCTTGCATGTGACCGTGCACGCGCCATCTGTCAGGCGTCACATGCTTCGGTCCGGACTTCCCTGCCAAGCGCATCCACATGACACTCGGGCCCGGACCCCCATTGTTCCGACGGTCCGGCTGCCATTGTTCCCCCCCGATCCGGCCCCTCTTTGTTCCCTGGCCCCATTGTCTGGCGCTTCCATTGTGCTTGGTCATCCATTGTTCTGTAGGCTATATATAGTGGGCCCTGACAAGGAGAGTCCCCAACTCGGTTTCTCTTTGGACTCTCCCTTGTCAGGTCTGCCAAGTCTCCTGTATTAGTCGGTCCCTTTATCTGACGCTTTGGACTCTCCCTTGTCAGGACTCTGAGATCGGGCCTCGAGGTTGCCCTTACAGAGAGTCCCTATTCCACTTACAATGTAAAAGTACATGCACCTAAATGAAACAGATACAGCCTGATTTTTAGATCAATGAAATGCGGAAAATTTTCGAAATGGTTGGTACAATAAAGTGAAACATTGCTTCGAGTTATGGGAGCAAGAATACCTGCATTACCAAGGGCACTTTGATTTCCCACCTGTTACCATTGCTTCCACTATATTCTTGTTTCTATGTCCATATCAATCTCACTGTCTCTTCTTTGTAATAATGAAAGCATGACTGATGTGAATTGGGGGTGTAGAAACCACTGGTTATGTATCAAAGCAAGATGGGTTGGAAATAGTTACTATGCATATATATATACAATGGCTGGCTCTACTGTGAGATCTAAGACAGAAGTACATTACTTGAGAGGCATAGAATGTTAGAGAGAGATAGGGATGTGCCTAGAGAAGCATGTGTTGTCATGGAAAGCTAGGTGGGGTATCACTGAAAGAATTGGGATATGGAGGCATTGTGTAACAATGCAGTGGCTTTGAAGAGCACAAATGTAAGTGATTACATGGTAGAATATACCCTTCAAAACCGAAGGCAGAACCCACACCATGAGCATGAGCTATTCCAAAATTGAGATGAATTTCCTTTTTGGGTTGCTATAAGTTGCATCAAAATGTCCTAAAAAGGAAGTCACATGTTCAACATGTTCAATTCTGATTATGGAACTTGAACATGCAACCCAAAATGGAAGCTGTGCTGCAATAATGATCCAATCACACACAACCGCATCAAGATTAGATAAGTCTTCAATTTGATTATCAGCGACTACAATTGAGTAAGCAGATACCATCAATATGGGTCTGACAGATAAGATGAGATTGAGATTTACATCATTAGTATCATCAAAAATTGATGGGAGATCAAAAGCAGTGCCATTCCACATGGCAGTGAAGCATGTGACTGATGCTGACAAAGAAAATGATGGAAAATCAAAGTTGTAGCCCTCGCAAAACTGAACAAGTTTCACCTATACACATGGGTGATCAGATCACTCGTTAGAGCGCAGCATCCAAAACAGTCCACATGATGACATCACTTGGAAAATGATGTAGAACAAAGCTTTGTGCAAAAATGGGTAAACCTAGCCTGAAAAGAAAGTGCCATATTTAAAACTACTACACTGGCTTGTTATAGCTGGATGCATTGAGCTACGGTCTACTTTTAAGCAATACCCTATCCTGATTTCTAGTTCTGGCCAAGTGTCTCAGAATCTTCTAAAATAGGCAATTTTGAGGTCAAAAAATGCATTTTTTTTTTTTGGGCACTAACGTGCCAGGGAGGGTCTGGGATGGGCTCCCCCAGAGCCCCCCAGAGCCCCCCACATCTGCCCAGCCCACAGCCCCCCACTACCACTGAGGTACCTTGTTTGGGCCTCAAAAAGGTACCTCTCGAGGTAGGATTTTGGGGTGTCCAAGGTGGTCCCGGTGGCGCAACATCGACTCGACGCCTGCCAGCATCTCGATTTCGTGGACTGGGTAGTTTTGTTGCGCCGCGTTCAGCTTCGCTGAGAAGAACGCAGCCACCCTCCCTGTCTTCCAGTCCTTGCCCTGGCACACCACGCCTGCCACTCCTGATGAGCAGCCATCCGTTACTAGGAAAATGGGGTCAGCGCCGCGGCTATAGTTGAGCGGCGCTCGGTGGTGGTTCAAAGGCCCGCTGATGAGTGTAACCCCAGCGGAAAGGAACGGTATCGCCGGTGAGCCCATGCAACACCCCCATAGGGACCCGCACGCGGTCCAATTCGTCCGCCAGGTACCCTACCGAGCCCAGAAATCCGCGCAGAAGATCTCTGTTGGTGGGTGTCTTCCAGTTCATCACGGAGTCGACCTTGTCGGGATCCATCCGAATTCCTCCGTTGTTCACCACCCGACCCAGGACTTTAAGTTCGGGCTTCAGGAACTGGAGCTTCTTTTTGCCCAGGTACAACTTCTCGCGCTTCAACATGTCTATGATCAGTTTCACATGTCTAATGTGATTCTCCAGGCTGTCTGAATATATTATGATGTTGTCGAGATAGACATCCATGAACCGCCCAATATAATCCGAGAATAGGAAGTTCATCAGTGACTGATATGTTGCCGGTGCGTTGCAATCCCCTTGCTGCAGTACCAGGCTCACCATGTTGCCGTCTGGCGTTGTCACTGTCATACGGTTTACGTGCTCTGGCACGATGCGAATCTGTTCATAAGCGTCTTGTCCATCGATCAGCGAGCGAAACTTTGCCCTGGCAACCCGCCGCAGTATCCCCTCCATGTCCGGAAGGGGCGACAACATTTTCACCGTGTTCTTGTTCCTGGCTCGTAGGTCAACCACCACTCGCAGCCGCGGTGGATCCGACTTCGCCTTCGGGATCAACAGCATTGGCACCGTATTACCCGCGTTTGTAACCTTCCACCGGCCAGTCCTCAGATACACACTCCGCTTCTCGTCCCACTGTGGCCTTAGCGCTTCTGGGCACCGCGAGGGTCGCCATGGCAATATCAACTTCTCGTCGATCAGCGCGATCGTGTGGTTTATTTTGCGCAATGGCGGCAAGTCCGTTTCCGCCGCCGTCTTACACACTGCCTTAGCATAGTCCACCAGTTCCTGACGCGCCGCGTCCAGTACATTACCATCGAGCTCAGTGGCACTGGAGTGCAACTGAGCCGTGGCCACCCCTCTGAGTGGTAAGCACTCTGCGCTACCTACTTCAAACCGATGCTTACTCTGTGCTGATATAGCCATGCCGTCCCCAGGATCATGTCGTAACTGCTAATATTTGCGACGAAGAAGGTGCGCGGTCCTTCTATGTCCTGATAGCTGAAATTCACGGTCGCGGAATGATTGATCTTTGACCGTGAACCCTGGACCGCTAGCTGCAGCGTGATAGGTTCGTCCAGCTGCTCCTTTCACAGCCTCAGCTGATCCGCTGCCGTTGTCGATATTAGATCACCCAGAGACCCGGAATCCACCAGAGCGCGGACGGGCTCGCCGTTCATGCTCACCACGATCACCAGTGGCCTGGCGACCATCCTTGTGGGTGTCCGCCGAGTTGAGGACGCCCGTCCCATGGATTGTATTCGGTCAGCGGGCACCTGGGCCCCATAACACGGCAACCCCTCACCATCATTGCTCCGCCACTTGGTGAACAGGCCAGTGAAGAAGCCCTCTTCCTCTAGCTCCTTTCCAGCTAGCTTGCAGTCCGCTCGTCGGCTGTTCCGCTGCTTCCTTTTCACCAGGGCGTCAATCAGGTTCATCCTCGGGTTCCGCAGCCACCAGGCTGGTATGTGTCTAACACCTCCGTGGTTGTTTCGCTTATTCTTTGTAACACAGTAATGACCTGACTGGGCGGTGGGGCGCCATACCCGCCGGAAGCCCGTGGCACGGGAATCGCTAGCTATCATCCTCCGCAGGTACTTCATCACTCCTGCAGCCAGGAGATCACCCAGCCGCGCTCGGTATCGTTGCGTGTGCTTAGTCTCTCCTAGCGCAAAGTAATCCCGAAGCCTGGAAGCGTACCACCCTGCAAGCTCAAACGTGGGGTTGAGAAGCTGGTACGTACTGACGCACGATGCCAGCCCTAGTAAATGATCCGTTATTACGCAGGTTTCGCCCCTTGTGTACGCGCTGAACCTTACAAGCTCTGCGTCGGCGATCCTCCCTCTATGCTGGTCATCTCCTGGGTATGGCGCCCCAAAGCGCAGGTGGTCTACCGCGCCCTCCGCAAGGAGGTCACCCAGAGCCTGCTCCCCGAAAGGTCTCACCACGGGTGCTTCTCTTCAACAGTTGCCACGCAACAAGTTCCGACGCCATGCCCTAAGATCAAAGCTGGCGTCGAGCAGGCTTCTCCGATCCAATTCCATGCTGACGCCGCTAGCCCGGTGCAAAAATCTATATTTGCTGTTTACACAGTTTCTGACCGAGAAGGACGGTCCCATGCCCATGCCCCCGCCTTCTTCCTGCTCCATCTCCTCCAGCTTAATCAGTGTCATGGCGAGCGGCGCGTCCCCGAGCTCCACTGCAAAGGGCTCCTGCCTCAGCAGATCCTCGTCTGTCTGACCTAGCTCTGCGAGGCACTTCTGCGCCCAGTAAGCCCCGATTTGGAACTTAGGATCCTGCAAGCACTCACTCGGCACAGTGCACTGTTCTATGTCGTTGAAGGCCAGCGGAGTTTCGGCGTCCGCAATGTGGTGCCTGCCGTCCCCAATGTTGTACAGCCAGAACCTACCTTGTGAAGGAGGTTGGTCGTCGCCGGGGAAGGGCTGACAGTTCTCCAGTGCCAAGGCGGCAAACTGCGCAGCCAGGTCGCCCACCGGGCAGGGCTCCAAGGACAGCTGGGACATGAGCAACCTCAGGCCCCCAAGTTCATCCTGCCCGGGCAGGTTCTCGAGAACCTCGCCGTCGCCAGCTTCCTCCAGCCCGGTGGGACTCACGCTAAACGACTCCAATACCTCGGTGGTGTCCTGCAAGGAAGACGATCCCAGGCCTACTGCGTGGGACTTGAGCCCAGGTGGTTTACCTTTGCTGTCGGACCTCATCGAGGTAAGTCTTGGGCAGTTCCTGGCTATATGCCCTGATTCCTCGCACTGGAGGCACAGCCCCTTAGCAAGCAGCTCGCTTTTCTTTTGAGGGGTTAGCTTCCTCTCCCAGGGTCTCTCCGGTGGCTGAGCTTTGTGGGGTACAGGTGTCGTGTTCCAAGGATCCCCCTTCAACTTTGGATCGCTCAACCTGACCGCCGCTGTTCTCATCTGCGCCCGGTACCTCCGGGGAGGGAATCTTGTCCTTGGCGTTGCTCCAGCGCCTCTATCTGCTGTCACTGTCTTGGGCGGCTGGGTCTGGCCGCTGCTCTTTCGACTGGCTTCGAGGTTCAGGAAGCGCTCAATGCGCTCAGCGGTGCGTACCACTCTTTTCCACTTGCTTTTTTTGGGGTCAAGCTCAAGCCGGTACAGCTCTCTGTGAATCTCGTTGTTGAAGCTCTGCCATAGCAGCGCGACTCGCTCCTGGTCTTTCGGCAGCCCAATCAAAAGCAAGATGCTTTCGAATTCCAGCACATGCTTGTTCACAGACCGCCCGTTCTGGAAGCACCGGCTCAGCCTCTTGCGTTGTCGAAGACGGAAGTCAGGTGAGAAGCAGTACTTTAGCAACGACACCAGAAGCTTTTTGAGTGTCCATTTAGCTTCTTTCCCTCTCACCCGCCGATTATAGTAGTCCCGGTGATAGGCTGGCTACCCGACGCGCTCTGCACCAACTCTGCAAGGGCGTATTTTTGCGCTTTTTACAGAGTTTACTCTCGAACCACTCGGTGTATCGTGTCGCGGTTGACAGTGTTGCGCTCAGTAGGACTTAAGGGTCTACTGCCCAGTCGATGACTGTGGATAGTGTCGACGATAGCAAGGCAGTCAGACCACTACTGTGGAATTGGTCTTATGAGTCTACACCAGGCTCAGGGCCATTAGTGACGAACACTCGGACCGCGACCATTCCCCAAAAAGGGATCTGTCGTTGCGTCGACTTCTCAAAAAGAGTCATTCTCTGCAGATGGATACTTGGGCTGAAGGGCTGAGCAATGTACGACGTTCTCAATAATACGACTACGACTGGACAGGACTTGACGTTACGAGATCGAACCAATCTTGTCGCGGCAACTCCCGGTCTTGAGTTGGACGTTTCCTCAGATCATGCCACGACGACGACTTGTCACATGTCAGGATCCATTCGATCACGGGACATTGTGGACGCGTCGCGGTGACACTTCCAAGTGTCACGGCGAGTCGCGTCCATACCCAAACACACTAAAATCGACACGGCTAGATCCGTGAACCGAACCATGTGGGGGACGACTGGCGTGCCTAGGGCCATACGGCTTCTTGGGACGACTGGCGTGCCTAGGGCCATACGGCTTCTTGGGACGCCCACGTTGGTCTCACTTGCCAAGACATACCCGTTGGCCAATCCAACACGTCGTATTCCAAAAGTATGACGCGGCGGGTTGACCCACATCGAAGGTATCATATGGACAATGGGGCGGGGTCCTGATCACTCAGGACCTGTCCGATCGTCCAACTTTTCAATTACTCTAAAAGGAAACTGATCTTAGATAGCGTAGCTACTATGCAGTTGTACAGGACTTTACTAAGCACCGTCGTAGACAGTATAAGTAGCACGTCGTTTCTTTGTATTAGAAAGCTTTCCCCCAGACTGTGAATCACTCTCATTTCAGATTGTTTTGTACAATTTGCGTGCCACGTGATTCCACCCTAAGAAGTTCTGCTACCCCTGCCCGGTCGCGACAAGTTGCTCCCTGAGCACTTGTAGCTACTGTGATTTGAGTTTTGAGTTGAGAAATCAGAAAGTCGGATTCGCCGCATCTGGTTTAGTCGCGGCATTTAGTGTCGTCGCCCTTTGGGCTTTGTTGAGATTGTTTCCACACCTCTAGCTTGGCAGTGCGTCGACTAGTTGTGCTCGGGTTGTTTTGGTCAGTTGGCAGTGCGTCGACTTGAGAACTTTGGTTCCACACTTCTTGTGGATGCATTGAGTGAGAGAAGGAGATCAATGCATCATCTTGTGAGGGAGAGAGCCGAAGAGCAGGGGGTGGCTGTGAGCTCACTCTCTCCTTCCACCCACCTGCCGGCGATCTCATCCTCGACAAATTCCCATTTCTGCGCTCACCCACCCACCCACAGCCTGTTTGATTTTCGATTGCTGTACAGCAGTAGAGCAGAGTCTGCGGGGTCATCCGCACCCTGCCGGCTTGCGCCCTGGGCTCAGCTCCCACACCCAATCACACTACTGTTGTGCAACACAGTATTTTATTTGATGGAATGTCTGGCCAGCAAAGGCTCAACTGAAGAAGACTTGGCAGTGCGTCGACAAGTTGTGCTCGGGTTTTGGACATTGGATATTGGCTGTTAGTTGGCAGTGCGTCGACGCGGCATTTTGGTTTACTAGTTGGCAGTGTGTCGACTCAGTACTTTTGGTTGTGTCAGTTGGCAGTGCGTCGACTCGACATTTGGGTTTACTAGTTGGCAGTGCGTCGACTCAGTATATTGGTTGTATTGGTTGGCAGTGCGTCGACTTGATATTTGGGCTTTGCGTCACCATCTAGACGCTGTCGCTACAAGGGATCTTAATACTTCATATTAAGTTCTGACTTGTTATATTGTTGGTTGTGATTGGATTAGTGTTGGTTGTGTTCGTATAGAAGATATTGGTTGAGATACCATTGTTTACTATATATAAATTCTTGTTGTCGACTTCGTCTCCGCGACTATTGGATCTGCGTCTATTGAGAGTTGTGATACTGGTGTTCTGTCCACCCCGAAGCCCTCGCATCTTTCACACACTGAGAAGCTGATTACGAGGAGTGTGAACGTGTTTATATTTGGGTTTACTTTCATAGTAGATTCACTTGTGAGCACGCCCTCAGCATTTCATCTGGAGCCCACCGCGAGGGGCTTCTAAAGTTTTCATAAACTTTAAAAATCAATAAACCGGATTCTTTACCGCGACGTCGGATAGAGACCAAGGGTTTATCCCGCGAAGCAGTTTATTTCGATCCCAAGCTCCTGCGCGACCTCTCGAGGACCAAGCGGAGATTGAGACTGAAGGAAACGCTTCAACTTCAGGACCTTTCGAAAAACCACGAAGGTCTGCAAGACATAAAACACCTTTGTATCTACCACCCTTGCCTTCCAAGGCAAAAGGAAAACAAAGAGTGAATTCGACGTCGAAGCTTCCAGCTTTAGACGCGGCTACTTCGAGTTCGACGACAATCAGTCGATCTCAGACTAGCTCACAAACTCTCTCAGAATTGTCTAGTAGCGTCACCGCTACAAACGCAAATTCTAACAACATCCCTACTTCCCCTGTGACTTCAGTCGCGACAACTATGGCTCCAAAGACTGGGTTCAAAATCCCTCAACCTTGGGACACAAGTAGACCTATACTTGATGAAAAGGATCCCCTGTCGATTGAGGCATATTTGCGTCACTGCGCGCAGATCGTGGAGGATGGTGGCATCACAGATGTCAAAAAAGCAAAAAGCATGTATATTTGTTAGTTGCCATCGCGGCAAGTGATGGACGTATGGGAAGGTCTCGATACCTATTCCGACGACACGAAAACTGTCGCGGAGTTCGAGGCCGAAATATTAAAAGGATACCCCGAGGTATCCAAGCGAAAAACGGGGACCATGGCAGATCTAGACAGACTCTGTCGCGAGAACCGTGCAATCAAAATAACGGATGAGGGAGATTTGAAGCGCTTCAGCCTTCAGATGTACAGTCACTACAAGCGACTGTCAGTCCCTCCTGCCATTATTACCAACAAAGTCGCGTGTGAACACTACATGCGTACTTTGGACTCTGAGTTCAGTACCGTCTTGAGGAATGCTTTGGCTACGAGTCAAATATTCAACAAGCGCTACCAAACTCGCGCCGGGATAGCAAACGCTAATGTCCCCGCGACTGGAGTCAATCGGCAGGACGACCCCATCCAGCTGAAGGAATTGATGACAATGGCAGAAGAAATGGCTTCGACGTTGAGTAACAAAGAGGAAATTCCCATAATCGCGCGGCCTCCCAAGGTTCGCTTCGACTATGAGACTAGTCCACCCAACCATGCTAAGGTTGAGGAGTTGGAAAACTCGATTTCCAACTTGAAGGACTCATTTCTTCTACACCAAAAAGAGCTACAGACTCAGTTGCAGGAAGCGCTGAAGACGTTCATACAGCCTGCTCGCGAAGCACCTATACAGCGGTCGCGGCCAGTAGGCAACAACTCTTCTGTGCCCCACTTTGAAAGTCGCACACAAGGAGGAGCTGCCGCAAGGAACGACGACTGTCGCTACTGTGGACAGACTGGTCATTGGTCGAACGAGTGCCCGCTCAAGAGGTCTCACATTGAGAAATATCTTCTCAAGGTCGACACCAAAGGGATGTGGAGGCTCTTCGACGACAGTTTCTTACCAAATGTAGAAGGGACTCAGGGACAACGAGTAGAGGCCTATTGGAAGAAGAAGGGCAAGTCCGTCAACTTCCAAGACTCCTACTACTTGGAACAGTTCGATAGTCGCAACAATGATGATATGTCCGACTACCCTGAAGAAGTGGCAGATGAGATACGCTCCCTTCGAAGTCAACTCGTCCAATACGAGAGGAAGTCGTCGCGACCAATTCCAGAGAGTCGCGCTGAGCCAAAGACTCAAAGAACTGCATCTGGCTCGACCAGTAATGCAATGGAAAGTGCCATGGGCCAGTTCATGCAGAAAGCCATGACCGACGCCATGGCCGGCTACTTCAACAACATGAACAGTGGTTATCCTCAGACTCAGGAGCAGTTTATTCAAACCCATCGTGGTGCGAATAGCCAACCTGAGCGCGACGATAACAACTCGGGTTTCTAAATGGTTCAAGGAAGGGGGCTAAACCCACAAACTCAGCCAAGCCCTCTGAGGACCATGATAAACGAGCTGAGCGACGAGAGAAACCGAGAAAACCTGTGATTATTGAAGAAGTTAGTGATAGCGACGATGATGAGGAATCAGTGCGCGACAACGTCGAAAAGAGAAAGGAACTACCGTTTGAGAAAGTCAAGCCCGTTCTACAAGAACCAGTACATTCTTCAAAAGCGCGCGTTCCAGATAAATACCAGTTGCGTGCACCGATTCAAACGAAGGCTGTAGCAGAAGCAGTCTACGACAAAATGAAAAACGCGTCAGTCGACGTCACTGTGGGTGAACTCCTAGCAGTTTCGGGGACTGTCCGCGACTCCATTCTGAAGGACTCTTCGAAGAAACGAGTACTGGTTCAGAAGTCCATGCTTCAAGAAACTGGTCGCGTCGTTGAAGACGTTTGGGAAGGAGAACTGAGCTACAACTTAGTCAGTGCTAAGGAGTTGCCCGAGCCTGTGTTCTATCATAACACAGTTGAAGGAGAAATTCCCATTGGCGCGATTGTCGCGACGGATCCATATGAGATGTACTTGGAGTCGATACCCTCTAATGAGAACCCAAGGCATGTCTATGTTGGTGATTTGTTGGCTGCTCTCAGAACGGTAAACGGACGGATTAACGCGCGTCTCGACGCGGACTGCATCCTAGACAGTGGATCTCAGATTGTCTCAATGGCTTTCTCAGAAGCTGTCGACGCACAATTGAGCTGGGACCCAAAAGTCGTCATCTATATGGAAAGCGCAAATGGATCTATCTCTAAGTCACTGGGATTAGCGAGAAATGTACCCTTCAGGTTTGGGACCATCCTGGTCTACCTGCAAGTGCACATTTTGGAAGGTCCAGCTTACAAGGTGTTGCTCGGCAGACCGTTTGATATCGCGACCGAAAGCAATATCAAGAAGGCGGCCGACGGCAGCCAGATAATCACCATGCGCGATCCCAATTTAAAGACGCGTTGTGCAATGGCTACGCAGCCACGTTGTACAGACGACTTGCCGCGTAACACCAAAAACAACGACGGATCTACCGAGCCCTACAGTTCGTCGAAACCAACGACCAGTCCAGACGAACCGAACCCTGAACGGGATTTTCAAAGAGCTTCGAGGAATTGACCAGGTTGAGTCAAGGAGAAGAGGTCGCGGTGACTGTGTCGTTGGGAAAAGATGGGAATGTAGTGTTCGAGGATCTAAGAAAGCCGCGTTCTAGTGGCCAGTTTACCCAAACTGAGCTAGTAGAAGCATATATCCTGTCGTCGAAAGAGGACGAGGAAATGAAGAAAGACGTCGCTGCGTCGACTTTGTTTCATTCATATATGAATGAAAGACTCTCAGACGCGGCAACAGAAAAAGTGACTGTTGGTACTTGGAGTGTGTCAGGGGACGCCGCGCTCCTTGGGCACGTGACCATGCACGTGACCCACTGCACCCTCTCTGCCGACCTGTGCCTGCTCACCTGTCGATCACCCAGCCTCCTCCTCCTCCTCCGATCCTCATCTCCATCCATGCCGACATCCGCCCTCTCCCTTCTTCCCCCGGCCATCTCCTTCAAATCCCCGCAAGCGGTCTAGCCAAGCCCGATTCCTTGCACCAGGGAGTGCTACTGCCGTATGCACTCCTCCCCCTTCACTTCGGCCTTCTCCCCGCGGATGTGGTCTACTGCCGTACAGGCTCGTACCAGATGCCCTTGCGCTCATCCGCACCACCCCTCTTCCCAGTTGGGCCATTGGTCCTCGCCTCCAATGTCTCCACTGGCCGGCCCGGCACTGGCCTGGCCGCTGGGCTCCTCCAGTGTGGCCTTCCACTGTTGGTGTCTCAGGAGCTGGCCATCACTGGCCCCTCTGAGCCACTCACTATCTTATCTGGGTTTGTCATTATCTACTTGTCATCTGCCATTGTTCCATGGCAGTGATATCCCATCATCATCAGTCACTTGTCACAGCTGACTATATAGTGTGACACCTGGGCACATGGATCCTTGAACCGTTCTCTAAGGATCCCCCTCTGTGCTCAGGTGAGTAGTATACCTCCCTTGTATTTGATAGTCTCTAAGGATCCCCCTCTGTGCTCAGACTCATGTGAGGTTGTTGTGTGCTGTGTGCTCTCTTCCTTCGGGCTGGCAGGAGTTGCCCTTACAGAGTGTACTAGACGACGACTCTTCTAGTCGCGACAAATACTCTGTGTTTGCAGGAAAGAAATACAAACCTGTGGACCAGAAAGTCAGACCGGTGTACACTATGGGTTCTGAGGACGACCAAATAATTCGAGAAATGGTGGGAGATCCTTTGGATACGCTACCTACTCTAAACCCGCGACCACCTGATTTTACCCCAACTGGTAGATTCACGGCGGAACGCAGGGATATTGTGGATAAGCTACACAAAGGAAACTTCTTATTACCAGAAGAACGGAAGTTGCTCATGCACTTCTATATGCTTCACAATCAGAGTTTCGCGTTCAACGATGAAGAGCGTGGCGCATTGAGACAGGATATATTTCCTCCTGTCAAGATCGCGACAGTTCCCCATACAGCATATTGCGAAGGGAATATTCCTATACCTCGCGGCATGTTCGATCAAGTGTGCAAGGTCATCAAAGACAAAATCGCGGCCCAGGTCTACGAACCTTCCAATTCCTCTTATGGGAGCAAGTTCTTTGCTGTACTTAAGAAGGATGGGAAGAGCATCAGACTGGTGCACTCGCTAGAACCACTCAATGCAATTACTATCGCGCATTCAGGATTGCCACCCGCGACAGAGGAATTAGCAAACCACTTCGCCGGTCGCGCTTGTGGTGCTGCGCTAGATTTGTACTCAGGCTACGACCAGCGTGACATCGATCCAGCTAGTCGCGACTTGACTACATTCCAGTCACCGTTCGGTGCGCTGAGGTTGGTCAAACTCCCACAAGGATGGACCAACTCAGTACCCATATTCCATGAGGACGTTACTTTCATACTGAAAGACGAAATTCCTCATGTTACTATTCCATACATCGACGACGTACCCTTTCGAGGACCTGGAACCAGGTATCTGTTACCCGATGGAACCTGTGAAACGATTCCAGAGAATCCTGGGATCCGTCGCTTTGTATGGGAGCACTTGGAGAATGTGAACCGCGTCGTGCACAGAATCGGCTACTGTGGCGCGACCCTGTCTGGTTCCAAGTCGGTGGTTTGCGCCGACGAGTTCGCTGTGGTTGGTCATATCTGCTTGTTTGAAGGAAGAAAACTGGACGCGGACAGAGTTGGTGTAATCATGCGTTGGCCAGACTTGAGAGACGTCTCAGAAGTTCGACAATTTATGGGCACGATTGGGGTCATGCGAATGTTCATTAGGGGATTTTCTGAAATGGCGCGACCAATTCAGAGACTAGTGAACAAGAACGCACATTTTGAATGGGGTGACAAACAGAAACTCGCATTTCAAAGACTTAAAGACGCAATACAAGTCTGTCCGTCGCTTAAGCCTCTGAACTACGAGTGGGACTCTGAGATTGTCGTCGCAATAGACACATCCTGGATGGCCGCGGGTTTCGAAATCTACCAGCGCGACCCAGACGATCCAAAGAAAGTCTATTACGCGAAATTTGGGAGTATCCCGCTTACAGAAAGAGAAGCTAGGTTCTCTCAACCGAAGCATGAACTTTATGGTGTGAAGCGCGTGCTTCAAGCCATGGCTCACTGGCTTCTTGGTTGTAGGAAATTGGTAGTCGAAACCGACGCGCTGTACTTGGCAGGCATGTTAAGGAACGTTGGTAACCTACCAAACGCAAATATCAACCGTTGGGCTGAGGAGATCCTCATGTTTCAATTTACCTTGAAACATGTCAGAGGAATCACCTTCTCACCAGATGGCTTGTCGCGACGACGACCTGCGCCTGGAGATGAAGAGTATCCCAATGACGAGGAGGAAATCTTCGACGAACCACCACCAGAGAACAACGAAAATTGGGACTACGACACAGAACAACCATTAGACTTTGAAGAGTTCAAAAGGGATATTGACACCAGAGGTGGCTACCTTAACTCTATGGTCGGGTGTGCTGAGTCGGTCGACGACATATCCAAAGAGCTAGTCGAAGCTTGCAACTCTTGTCGCGCTGAGAATCGGCGTGTCAAAGACGCATATGACGCTCAAGGACTCGTCGTTCCAGTCTTCATGTTGAACGATGTGGCAAACGGAGAACCACTTTTGCCTGATCTTGAACTGCGCGACAATCCAGAGGATCCCTATATTGAGGATCACTGGACGGGCACAGGGATTGAACAAGACAATAAGTTGGTAATGGCTAGGAAGTGGTTGAAAGACACTTCTATCAGGCCTGAAATGACAGACAAACGGTTCAGGTCGTTTCTCAAATTCTCGCGACAGTTTTTCCTCAAAGATGGAAAAATGTACAAGAGATCGACCAATGGGATTCATAGACTGGTCGTGGACAAGCACCACAGAACTTATATGATGAAGGCGTGTCACGACGCGCTGGGTCATAAGGGTCTTTTCAGCACTAAGAGCCTGTTGGAAACTCGGTTTTGGTGGCCAGAGATGGAAAGAGACATCGACTGGTGGATAAAGACTTGTCATAGCTGCCAAGTCCGCCAGAAAACTCTCCTCCGCACTCCACCGACGCCGACTATGACTCCAAGTGTATTTCAGAAGATACATACAGATGTCATGATTATGGGAACGCCTTCCAACAGATACAGATATGTCGTCGCGGCAAGGGATTCCTTGACCCGCTACGTGGAAGCGCGACCGCTACAGGCTGACAACGCCAAGGCAATAGCGCATTTCTTACTCGAAGACATAGTGTGTCGCTGGGGGTGTCCTAAGTGGATTGTAACCGACAACGCAGGACAGTTTGTCGCGGCGTTGAACTGGTTACAGAAGAAATATGGTATCAAGGGAATAAGGATATCTCCTTACAATTCCCAAGCGAATGGCACTGTTGAAAGGGGACATTGGGACATTCGACAGTCACTGTACAAGGCTACTGGGGGAAACACCTCTAAATGGTTTTGGTTCTTCCCACAAGTCTTGTGGGCGGATAGAATTACAGTGCGTCGTGGGCTGGGTTGCTCACCATACTTCGCAGTATGCGGGGCCCACCCTACCATCCCTCTGGATATAGTCAAAGCTACGTGGTTAGTCGAATATCCTGACCGGATCGTCGACTCTGCGGATCTCATTGGTCTCAGGGCACGCGCTCTAGCTAAACATGCAGACCACATTCAAGATATGCGCAGCCGCGTCAGCGATGCCAAACTAAAGATGGTTCAACGCTACGAACTCGAGTACAAGCATGTGATCAGAGATTACAAGTTTGTACCAGGGGACTTAGTGTTGGTCAGGAACACAGCTATTGAAAAATCATCGGACAACAAGATGAAAGCTAGATATCTTGGGCCCATGATTGTAGTTCGAAAGATCAAAGGGGGTTCTTACTTAGTCTGTGAAATGAACGGTGCGATGTTCCATGCGAAAGTCGCGGCGTTCAGAGTAATACCCTATTTGGCAGGACAGAAGTTGACACTCTCTGAAGATATAAAGAAGCTGATAGATATTTCGCCTGCTAAACTCGATGAGTTGGTGGAGGAAATATCTGATGTCCGCGACTACCAGTTCGAAGGTGTGAAACTCAAGAACTCGGATAGTGACGACGACGACGACCCTGTAGAGGATCCAGCTTCTGTCGAGTGAAAGTCTGGCAAACAAGTAATTGTCGCGGCAGGCTCTCGCACGACAAGACGTCGCTTCTCTCAGTTTTAGACAGAATTCAGTATATTGCTTGGGTGCTAGCTGGTACCTAAGGACTATACTGGATTGTATCTAAAAGAAAGAGGTCATAAAGGAGGTGCGCGAGAAGAAGAGACGCGACTTCATAAATAAGTGACAAGAGAGAAAGAGACATATGAAAGGAGAGTGCATATGGAACAAATTACGAAAGATTAGGCCGCATTCTTCGACATCGAGAGGTCCACTATAGTCAGATGGTTTTTGAGCCTAATAGGGTACCAAAAGTGGTCATTTTTTAGCCTTAAGAGGGTCCAAGACCACTCAGTGGTCTCAGACCATCCACCTCTTTGGGCACAACCACCCATCCCAAATCAGTAGCACATCCTATTTTGACTGTTGAAAAGGGTGGTCTTGACCATTTGTTGGCCTTTGGTTGCAGCCACCTCAGGTCAATTGATGGTCCTCACTGCATATGGTTGCAACCACCCTGTGATCATGCATTTGTGATTGCTCCAATTAGCCTTGTGGGCTGCTTGTATAGGCTGTTCAGCTTGTAGACGAGTACACTGGGGGCACATCAAGATCATACCGAGTGGAGGGTGCTGTATCTGGCCCCACAGCCAGCCATAGGCCAGAAAAGAAAATCACCCTTTGCTGGCTTGAGTGGGTGGTTGCAACCACTACAGGGACTGGATGTGGTCTGGACCATCCTGTCCTCATGCATTTGTGAATGCTCCGTTTACCCTTGCAGGCTGCCTGTATGGATGTTTCAGCTTGTATACAAGATCATTGAGGGTGCATTCAGTGTATCCCCATAGACAGATGCTGTATTTGATCCCACAGCCGGCCATAGGCCGGGAAAGAAAAAAATTGTGAATGCTCCAATTACTTTGTAGGCTGCTTGTATGGTTTGAGCTTGAACAGAAGTACACTCAGAATTGTCTATTTTTGGCACATTCTGGGGCACTTGGCCAGAATTGAAAATCAGCATAGGGTATTGTTCAGAAAAAGAATGTTGATTTCCCATCACTTTCTATACCAGCATCAGTCACGTACTTCACTGTCATGTGGAATAGCACAGCTTTTGATTGCACATCAATTTTTGATGATGTTAATGATGTAATATGAGTTTATAATCAGTTCACCAGTCACATGTCACAAGAGCCCTGACAGGGAA